GCGGGAACTTGGCGGGGAGGGCGGCTCAGCCTTCAGCCAGCAGCATTTGCCCTCCCCGCTACCGCCCCAATTCTATTGTCCCGGATTGGCTGGGCGGGGCAGGTGAGCGAGCTGGAGGCCCGCCGCGAGCGCCAATCAGTGCGGGCGCCGGCCGGAGGGCCGGATTCAGTGCGTCTGGAAGGTCCCCGCGGGTCGCTCGGCCCAGGATGCGGCCACAGCATCTCCCCTCCCCCACCCCTCGCGCCCATGTCTTCCCCGGTTCCCTCTTGCGTGCAGCGCCTACATTGGAACTGGGTACACGTCTGCTTTGTGATGGGCTTGGAGTCACCCCTGCTCGCCTCTGGGTGGGGGAGAGCAAGCGTTTGGGGTCATACAACTGGGCTTAGAATCCCAACTCGGTCCTTACGTAGCTCCACGAAACTGCAGTGAGCCTTGGTTTTCTCACCTGTAAAGCGGAGATGCTTGTACCTCGTAAGGTACGGCTATGGGCAGTTAAGACTAAGTGCCGGAAGCACCTGCCCGAGAGGAGGATTCATTCCGGCCCGCAGCCGCTCCCAGCCCTCCCCGCCCCCTCAGGTAGGTTTCATTTTGCACCGCCGCTTTCTCACCGGGATCAGATTTCTTTTCCCCGAACTTGGCTGTCTGCGTCGGCATTTGGCAATCAGTGCCTAGCTCGAACTGTCAGGGCACTTGCTGTCTGTGATTTATCTGCGCGCCTGGCCCTGGGGCCTAGCGCTCCATCCACTTCCGCTGCTGTCGCCGGCTCCAGGTGACCGTCTCACTTTCTGGCCGGGGCAGACGTCTGTCCTGTCCCTGGGGACCGCCCGCGGGAAGGCGGTATTCGTACTGCCGCCTGCTGGCACCGCTCCAAAGGCAAGGAAGTGAGTTTGCGCAGGAAGAAGCTGCGGGTCAGACCACGCCGCAGTCATCCTTTCCAAGCTGAGGAGCCGCAGACCATCTCCGGGCAGTCAAGAGTCACCGGCGCCCTTGGGAAAATCACTCCCCCTCTCAGGGTCTCTGATTCCTCGAATGTTAAAGAAGTCCTAATGAAACAGAAGTTTGCAAATGGATAGCCTGAGAGCCAAATCTGATTCTATATAAACTTTATTAACTTGTCTAAGTAAAAAAAAAAGTATAATTAATATATGATAAAATGCACATAACTTAAGTATTCATTTAATGACGTTTATCTGATGAATGTATACAGAGTAACCACCACCCAGAAGCAAGATGCAGAACATTTTCATCACCCCAGAAAGTTCTCTCATGTTTCTGTCTAGTCAACTCCTCATCCCCTACTCCTTCCCAGGCAACCACTTTGATTTTTAACATTTGCGTGACTTTTTTAAAATTTAAAATCTTAATGCCTAAAATGTCATTCTCTGTAGAGCCACAGTCCTTTGCTCAGCCGGCTTCCTTCACTTATTGCCTGACTGGCTCCTCCTTGTAGGCATCTGAGTTTGTATCCTCACTAGATGCTTCTTCAGGCCTTCCCAGGACTAACATTTTATGGGTCTAGTTAAGAAGGACCTCCTAAAGGGCTCCATGCACCCTGACCCCCTAACCAACTTTGTGGTTTCCAAGCCCAAGGCAGCATCCCCTTGTTGATTTCTACCCAAAGAGACCCATCTGAACTCCCTTGTGCCCCTCATGTCACATGTGCCTCTGAAGAATATCTGAGGCTCAGCATTAATGCAAGGCTTAGGGTCGGGGTCCATAGTGGGAGGAGACAGAACTAGGAAAATGATGAGAACTGGTGGATAGAGTATAAAGTGGACATTTCACACACGTTTGGCTATTTTTGATGCATGTTCTAATGCTGGGGAAATTTCCCACTTTGGGAGCCCTGCTTTTCCCAGATAAAAGCTTGAAAATTTGTGTTAGAAGCCTGTGGTATGAAGTTCACCGGTCAGGGAACCAGGACAGGACTTTGAGTTGCAGATGACATGAGGAAAAAGCGTGTCTACACATCAGTTTTCTCAAGGGAAATCAGTACCAAAGACATCTAACTTGGTTTGCGGTAAGCTGTGGCTACAAGATTGCATTCCCAATGCAGCAAGCAGCATTTGCACTGGCTGCAGTGACAGTCACGAGTAGGTAGGCTCCTGGCTGCACACAGATGGCAGCATCAAGTGTTCTGTGGCAGAAGTAGCTTCCGCAGCATGGTTTTAGGTAGCATTCCAGGAAGATTCACCTCTGGTCAGGCCTGGTTCTCTAGCTCTGCCAATATCTTTTTAATTATTTTCTGCTTATTCAGGTCAGTACCAGCTTTGGCTGTGTGTGATGAAGGACTAGTCATGAGCTCGTGAGCGATAGGTGGGAGAAAGGCAGGATACCTGGAAAAAAAATTCTTCAGGAAGTCCTTCCCAAGAAGAAGGGCTGGGTGAGCACAGATGTTTCCTGGGATTCGGTGTCTTCAATGGAAGAAATAGAATACAAGTTTCTTCAGTGGCAAAGACAAATCAATCTTTGCCCATCCCCTCTGTGAACATACTATAACTAATGGCAAATGGAAAGACTGCCCTGAGGCAAACAGCATGTGTTTGATGAACCACTAGATACTTAAGGGGCTTCTGCTTCACTCAACTAAGCAGCTCAATTCATGCTAAGTCAGCCTTGGGAGAAGAGGTTTCTGCTTTCATTGTGCTCTCCGTCCCAGCTGGTGGGAGTGCCGAATGCCTGATAGTTCTGCAGAAGACAAAACAAGCTAGGTGCCAATCCAGTGCCCCAGACCAAGTGTGGGCCAGGGCTGCCCAACCTTATCAGGAACTAAGACCAGTCAGGGACAGAAACTCAGGGTCCTGAGAGCCCCACACACTCAAACACAGAGCTGATGTTCTAAATATATTATTTACATCTTATCTATTTCACTTAATTTTTGAGACAGTCCCAAGGAAGTACGTATTATTTTTAGTTTTCCACACGAGAAAAATGAAGTTAAAAAATGGTGTCTACCTAAGGTCACTCAGCTAGTCACTTCTTGGAACATGACAGACCCTCAAATATGTGTTAAGTGAAGGAAAGTAGCAGGATCAAGATAGAGTTACTTGATTTGGTCTGAATCCTAAGCCTACACCCGTCACACTGCAGCACAGTACCATGTGAATTTCAGTCTGGGAAAATGCTAGCCATCTCTTTCAGTTTTTCTCTTTTTGTCTAGGAATTTCTCTCAATTGCCAACTCGCCTAAGGTTCTAAGTTCTTGCAGAATTGAAGACGCAATTCTACTTGGACTGTAAAATCCCAGCCTCTCAGCTGTGTGTAGGGACAGACTCCTAATAATAATGAGCACACATTTTATTTTTCTTGTAGTTTTTATTTTCTCCCCAGCTTTACTGAGATATGGTTGAAAATAAAAATTGTATATATTTAGGTTGTACAACGTGATTTTTTAAGTGTGCAATGTGATGAGTTAATACACGTATACATTGGAAAATGCTTACCATAATCAGATTAGTTAACACATCCATCAACTAGGCTATTTATTTATTTGTTTGTTTGCTTGTTTGTTTTTGGTGTCTGTGTGAACATTCAAGTTCTACTTTCTTAGCAAATTTCAAGTATACAATATAGTATTATTAACTGTATGTTATATCCCCAGAACTTATAACCGAAAGCTAGTAGCCTTTGACCAACATCTCTCCATTGTGGTTTTGATTTGCATTTCCCTGATGATTAGTGATGTTGAGCACCTTTTCGTGCACCTGTTGGCCACCTGTATGTCTTTGGAAATATGCCCATTCAGGTACTTTGCCCATTTTCCAATCAGGTTATTTATTTTTTTGCTGCTGAGTTGTATGAGTTTCTTATATATTTTAGATATAAACCCCTTATCAGATTAATGGTTTGCAAATATTTTCTCCCATTCTGTAGGTTTTTTCACTTTGTTTCCTTGACTGTACAAAAGAACATATATTTTCATAATGTTACTTTTGTCCATAATCTGCAGACTCCTGTGACAGTATATCATTCATCCATGAAACAGGTATTATTAGCCATATAATAAAACAGGTATTATTAGCTATTATGTCCATTTTATATGACTAACCTGGAGCAGTTAAATGTGTGAGTACTGACTGGGATCCAGCTCTCTGATCTTACACTTCGAATAGTCTTCCTTAACCCACTCCAGCCAGGAATGGGCAGGAAGACATTCTCAGACAGGAAACAGTGACAAGAGTCTCCCTGGAGTCACATCTTGATTGGGCTTCAAAAGCTCCCAACAACCTGGACAAAAGTGTCTCTTCCCACGGTACAACCTCCTCAGTTCCCAGCCGTCTTCTGTCCCTGACCCCACTCTCAGGTAGGTAGACCACACTGGGGTCAAGTGAGAGACCCAGGAATGCTCCTATTCTAGGTTCCCCGAGCTTTCCTTGCACACGTGACAGTCTGATGGCTGGGCTCAGCACAAGTATTCCTATCTGGCCAGGAAGCAGAAGAGGTATAAAGGTCTGGGCTTCAAGCCAGGCCCC